TCTGGCTGTGATCATGGGACATCCTTCTGTCCATTCATCCGAGTCTGTGTTATAAATCCACACGGTGTCTAAAGCATCCACAGTCTGTGTCCTGTATCCTCCGGTCACATAGATATCAGGGCCTAGAAGTGCCACGTTATAACTCTCTCTTTCAAAATCAGGCATGTCTTTGCCCTGAACCCATGTGTTGGAAACAGGATCCCACATGTGGACTTCACACAACGGATGCCAGTAATATCCACCAATAACATACAAGCTGCACGTTAGTTTTTTGCAGCACTGTGAGAAACCTTTGCTCGGCTTTAAGGAGGTACGAATCAGAGATCGCAATTTGTTTTCAGAGCAACCTTTGCGTAGATCCAAAGCAGTTTTGAGGCAAGCATCATCCACTTCGAGATGGATGCATTTGAGAAGCTCTTGAAGGTGGTCTATTCGAGGAGCCGTGTCATGGGCGACCCATTTGATCACCGCATCCAATAAAGTCACTTCTTTCCACACATTAATGTTCTCTGTTTCTAAAATCCCCATGAGCTTTTGGAAATCCACCTCTAGGAACTCCTCCTGAAGTGTGAGTTCTTCAAAGCGGCTCAGTATGATCCTCAAAGCCTCGTGCTGCAAATCAGAGCACACGTGAAGCTCAGCAAACGAGTGCATCCCGAGGCAGTTATCGACGTCCAGCAGATGAATCAAGAAGCTCTCGCAGGCTTTCTTGAGCGAGTTGAACTGCAACAGGTCTGCGGCTTCCAGAAGACTTTGGACGTTGTTCTGGGTTATGCTGGTCTTTGACGTGTAGACGTAGCTCACCAAAGCACCCAGAATCTCTCCGTTTATGCAAGGTAGGTTGATGGTGTCGTTCAAACGTTCTCTCATGTCTAAGGTGAACATTACCTTGAAATAGGAGCTGCGGGCTGATAGGACAGCCTTGTGGCAGTGGAAGAGCTGTCCGGATGAAGACTGCAGGGTGACGTCTGTGAACAGACCGCTGCTGTGAAACTCATGAAGAGCTTCCAGCACCTCAGAGGAGTGAGAGGCATCGCAGAACTCGTAGGAGTAACCGCTTTGAGCTTTTCCTGACATTGCAACTGGAAAGAGATTTTCAAATGAGTTTTCAAGTGTCCTTACAAAAAAAGCTATATTACTAAATTATCATCAAGGAAAATTAATTTAAGTTGTAGAAATGTAATAAATTAATAGTATATATATATATATATATATACATATATATATATCTAGCTTTTTAGGATCTTTTGGTCTACTTCACTTTGTCAGGCAGGTCCTATTTAAGAGATTTCTTGATTGCGAACAGGTGTGGCAGTAATCAGGCCTGGGTGTGGCTAGAGAAATTGAACTCAGGTGTGATAAACCACAGTTTTAACAGGGGGGCAAACACTTCTTCACACAGGGCCATGTAGTTTTGGATTTTGTTTTCCCTTAATAATAAAAACCTTCATTTAAAAACTGCATGTTGTGTTCACTTGTGTTATCTTTGACTAATATTTAAATTTGTTTGATGATCTGAAACATTAAAGTGTGACAAACATGCAAAAAAATAAGAAATCAGGCAGGGGGCCAACACTTTTTCACACCACTGTATATACACACACATACATACACATATACACACACATACATACACATATACACACACACATACATACACATATACACACACACATACACATACACACACACACATGCATATATATATAAATGCTTCTAGTTATGCTCAGCTCTAGGATATTTTGTTTCCTGTCTATGACAATACGATAGCAACAAAGCCAGAACTAATGCAGGTAAAACCAAATTCATATTTTAGACACCATTTTTATCATATTTATTCCAGTAAATATTATTTTTGTTGTATTTAAGTTGTCACACTGGGCATTAAACGCATTTTTAGCAAAATGTAAACAGTAAAACAATTTTACACGACCAAAAAATGCTACATGTAAATGGTAGCACAAAATATGAAATAGTTTTGGCACAGTAGTTTTTCTATATATAATTTTGCTTTTACTGGGTTTGTTTACCTAACACGTTTTACACAAATATATTTATTTTGAGCACAAAATTTAACCCAATTTAAGACTATTTTAAACCAGTGTTATTTCGCATCACTAAAATACTATTAAAGTGTTTAATGCTTTGAATTAGCTTTTTTATTTTCCGTTTTCTTTTTTGCTAAAAGTTTTGGTCATTTTTTTGGTCATTTTATTGTTTATTGTTTTAAATACATGTCTATATATTTTGTGTGTATTATTTTAGTTTTATATTAGTACATAAAGTGAAAATGAGAAATGCCTTGGCAACTAACTGAAATTAAATAAGTATTTGTATATATTTAATAACGTTTATTTCCTTTCAAGTAACGAAGACGTTTCTATGGTTTTAGTTTTGATAATAACCCTGTTTTGACCTTGGTTTTTGCAACCAACCGACAAAAACACATCTAATGATGAAAACAAACAATGCATTTTAACTCAGGCCCCAAAACTAGTTAGTTACTGATAATAGCGTTTGTGACAACTAGCCCCTATGTAAAAACAAGTTTACCTGACCCGTCTAATGCCTGATTGACACAGCTAGTCCTTTCTTCGTAGAAGTTTTATCCCCAGCAGTGCGGCTTGTGCTCGGACAGATCAGACATGTGGCCCCTGTATTTAGTGTCAGCCTCTGGAGAATGTCGAGCTCCTATTTTGGTATCTGTGTATTATAGCAGGAGCCTCGCTGCTGTCACCCTCCACTAACGTTACTGATTCAACACAGCCGCGTCCTTCAGCCATGTGACCGAACCAGTATGTTAGCATCCCATCTTCATAAATACATGTAAAAAAACAAAAAGCCATAAATTAGATTTTTCAATCAACTGAGACATAAATAACACCAGTTTTCACGTTTTAGTTGTCATGGCAGTGTCCAGCGTATAATCCTAATAAGGATTAAAGCCGTTGCATAATAACGCCTGAGGGAAACAGTACCAAGGGCGGCCGAACACCAAGAATTAATCCATTCTAAACGCTTCACCGTTTCCTGAACACAAGAGCGTTTGTTTATAGCTTAGCGACGGTGAATTATTGGTGTGTAGTTGCCATTAAGTCCACAGGGTACAGTAAAAGGACAGAAATAACTCACGGTTACCATGGAAACAGTGTGAGGGGTCAGTCGATGAAGCCAGCGCCTGTTCCCGTTTGATTGAGGCGATTTTTAACGTGTATTTCTCTGAAGTGACTTCCAGTTAATAATGTTTAAGTGCTAATAATTTCAAGTTTTGAAATTGAATGCATTCTGCAATCTCGAGATAAATAAACATGTTAATGTTTGCCAACAGTGTTTGGTTCCCTGGAACGTTCTTGGAACAATAAGGTCAGAAAGGAAATGAATGCTAAAAACAAATAACCATTAGAAAATGCACCGTAAGATCTTATCAGATAAGACTTTCTGCAACATTCAGGGAACCTTACATGGACAGTATTTTAACGCTATGGAAAGGTCGTGTGTTTGTTGGGATGTATTTATGCCTTATGAAAGGTAACAGCCTTGTGGACAAGGTCATGAAACTAAAGTGTTTTGAAAGTGGATGTAATACAGACTCTGTTCAAATTTTTGTCATGTGTTCATAAGCAGAAGTATCCATCATTTATATATCTATGTATCTGAAGAGAAGCAGCAAGTATGTGGGAAAAGGGCCAAGTATGATTTTAAACACACACACACACACACACACACACACTTGTTTTGGGAATGAAAAGGAGCTAAAATATTTTTTGTCATATATATGTATACACTGCTGTTCAAACGTTTGGGATCAGTACGGTGTTAAAATGTGTTTCACAGAAGTCTCTTCTGTTCATCATGGCTACATTTATTTGACCAAATCTACAGAAAAATGTGTAATATTGTAAAATATTATTACCATTTAAAATAATGGTTCTCTATTTTAATATACTTTAAAATATCATTTATTTCTGTGATGCAACGCTGAATTTTCAGCCATTACTGCAGTGTTCAGTGTCACATGATCCTTCAGAAATCATTCTAATATGCTGATTTATTGTCAATGTTGGAAACAGTTGTGCTGCTTAATTTTAAAAAAAATTTTGAAACCTGTGATACTTTGTTCAGGATTATTTGATGAATGAAGTTAAAAAGAACAGCGTTTATTTAAAATAGAATTTTTTTCTAACAATATTAAACAAAAGTAAGTCAAGTCGAGTCACCTTTATTTATATAGCGCTTTTAACAATACAGATTGTGTCAAAGCAACTGAACAGCATTAATTAGGAAAACAGTGTGTCAATAATGCACAAGTCTTTATCACTTTTTTGTTTATCAATTTAACATCCATGCTAAATAAAAGCATTAATTTCTTTCAAAAAAAGGGGAAAAAAAGAAAAGACAAAGGGAAGAATATACCGACCACAAACTTTTGAACAGCAGTGTATATTTTTACAAAAGATTTCCATTTTGAGTAAGTGCTGTTATTTTTAACTTCTGTTCATCAAAGAATCCTAAAAAAAAATAAAGTATATTAAAATAGAAAACTATTATTTTAAATTGTAATAATTTCACAATATTAATGTTATATTTCTGATCAAATAAATGCAGCCTTGATGAGCAGAAAAGACTTCTTTTAAAAAACATTACAAATCTTACTGATCCCAACTTTTGAGCGGTAGTGTATATAAAACATAAAATGTGGTATAAAAAGACTTTGACAATACATTATCAAATAAAATCTCTCTCTCTATTATATATATATATATATATATATATATATATATACACATAGAAAGAAAAAAAGACTAAAAACAAAATGCTATTTTAATGCATTTAAAAATTAATGCATATTAGCAAGAAGTTTGAAACACAGAAAAACACATCTGTTAATGTTCAGTAAATTTCTATATTATTTAGCAGGACATTGGCATCAGCTATTTGTCATTTTTATACAAAGGATCCAACGGCAACCCTTTAGTATGATGAAAAGAGACAAACTCCACTGCAAAGCACTGATTGTTGTTATTTTAATCAAACACTTTCATTTGGAATACAGTGGTTTTAGTAAACACTAACAACAAAAAGTAAAAACAGGACTATTTTTCCACACAGTTGTTTTAGGAATTGTAGTGTTATGAACAATGTGAGTAACAGTGAGCAATGAAATTCAGTCAGGCTAGAGCTAAAGCTGCTGGAATGTTAAGTGTTTCCCATCAGGATCACTGACAGATATTCAGACCGTGAGCTGTGCAGCCTCTTTCGCTAAGGACTTCAGGGCACCGATGTCCCCCAGCAGTGAAGATATACCCATGCAGTACCACTGCTCACCACTGCTGGCAGTAGAGGCACTGAAGGACTGCAGCAACACACCTGCTGCTGCCAAAACCCCTGAGAAAGATAGGAAAGCATCATTCAATTGTGATTTTACTGAGCCCTATTGTCTCATTCAGATTAAGAGTCATTATTCACCCATATGTCATTCTCAACCCATGTTTTTCAAGAATTTCTGAAGTTATTCCCCATATAATGAAAGCACTTTTATAGTATTGGTAAAATAAAATTAAGTAAATAAATAAAATAAAGTAAATAAAATTACCCGGGTCAAAAAATGTATTGCCTTTTGACCAATACATTTCCATGACTTTCAGTCGTTTGTGAATTGCTGATAACAATTTTCTAGACATTACACTCATAAAGAGCCATTTCTGGCCAATATTTTAGAGCTGAGCTGGAAATCACTTTTAAATTTCCTAATATTACTAGGTTTTCAATCAGTTTCCCTGCAGAAATTCATCTCAGATATTCTTTCCATTTGTGACCCTGGACCACAAAACCAGTCTTAAGTGTCAATTTTTCAAAATTGAGATTTATACATCAAATATACCCCAGCGACTTAAGACTGGTTTTGTGCTCCAGGGTCACATTTAAGGTTATTTGTGCAGAATGTGAATCAGCCTTTACCGGTCACAGAGAGCAGGAGCTCAGTGGAATTGGATGCTTTGAAGAACAGCAGGTGTCCAGTGAGAGGAACAGGCTGTCGAAACACACTTCCATTCAGCTCGAGCAGCACAGGAACCCCGGCCTGCACTGAGCCTACAGCAGTATAGCTACTGCCGTTCACAGAGACCTCCAGCACACACACCTCACGCTCATTTGAGTCTTTATGATCCGTCTGCACCTGGTGGTTTGTGACAAAGGGACAGATTAGAGCACTGCTGGGAAAATAAAACACCTAGATGGCATTGTGCTTTAACTTAAAATACAGAGTAGTTCAAAAATATGAAACTAGCTGTAAAGAAGTCTTACTGTAATTCCTGTCTCTGCAGCTAGAGGCAGTGCATTCACCAAGTTGGGGCCTTTCTGAGGACCTTCAGTGAGCAAACCAACTACAGCTGCTGAGCTCAAAAACCCAGAGGACTTCTTCAAGGACTCCCCTGAACAGCAAAAATAAATAAATACATATTTTATATATTATTGTTAAATTGTATATTCATATTATATAATAAAATGTTATATGTAAAAATACTTTTACAATAATATATAAAATATATATAGATATACTGTATAATATCTCATACAAAATGCATACAATTGCATGATCTTGCCACAAGATGGCATCAGTGCAATGATAAAATGTAATGCCATTTGACCAGAGCAGGGTTTTGAGTTTATGAAAAGCCAATAATTAATTAAATGGATTGCAAAATTATAAAGACATGGGGCTGCACAATTTAATTGAAATAAAACTGATAGAATTTATAAACATACTTTCATATATATATATATAGATTGCATATGAGATTATGTTATATGGCAGTTCAAATCACAATCACAATATATAACAAAATAATTGCAATATAATTTTTGGTGTGCAGCCCTATGCATAAAGAATTTTAAAGGGGTCATATGATGCGATTTCAATTTTTCCTTTCTCTTTGGAGTGTTACAAGCTCTTGGTGCATAAAGAAGATCTGTAAAGTTGCAAAGACTAAAGTCTCAAATCCAAAGAGATATTCTTTATAAAAGTTAAGAGTCAGCCACGCCTACCTAAAACGGCTCGTTCTAACACGCCCCCACATACCTACGTCACGATGTGGGAAGATTTGCATAACGCCACCCAAATGTTCACGCAAAGAAAGAAGGCTTAACTTTTATTCTCTTTTTAGCAGCATCATATGACCCCTTTAAAATGAAAAAAAAAAATTCAGCTTCAGCTATTCCAGCTTGTTTGGCTATTTTCATGAAAAAAAAACATACTTGAGTAATTAAAATTTAAAACTAAAAAAAATATTTAAGACCAATAAACTTTCCTAAAAGTTCTAAAACTTGATGTGGGTTAACTCGATTAAAAAACTTTTCAAGGGTATCAACAGAATAAAAATAAATTTCTCAGTAGAGTTGAACTTTTACAATACAATAAAATATGTCTGACAGACAATGAGCTCTGATAAGTACATCTGGGAGGGTTTCCGCCTGAGCAACTATGTAAGTCTTTTGTACCCTGTCCTGCATCATGTGGAAATGACTTGTCCCAACACTTAGTAAAAGAAAATGTACATACTGTCCCAACAACAGGATTGATTTCTTGTCATTTGTTTTAAGCACTCATTCAGTTAGTGAGTGAATGACAACAATTTTAACAACATATTGGGTGAATTACTCCACTTACCAAGTGATGTGACGTGGACCTGACTGTAGGGTTGTTTAGAAGCGGTGCAGGCCTTCAACACGCTGCCCATGGACTCTCCCAGCCGAATCCACTGATGAGAGTCAGGAGAGAAAGTACTGACCAACACCTGAGCATTCACCTGAGGATGAAAAAAAAAGGACTTAAAGTCGTGATCTTTCATTCTGTATTGTGACATACATCCGAGTGACACAGATTACTGAAAAAGAAAAGAATGTAGGGCAGGGACTGGGTTTTATGTATCGATTGTTCATTGGATGGAGGAGCTAAATGTGACCTTGCAGCCAACTATAAGAAAGGGGCGGAGTTAAAACAGACTAAATGATTGGAGAAGTCTGGCATATGTCACCAGAAAGAAGTCTGCCTTGTCACTGGAAGATCGAGTTAGGATATTTTGATTTAAAAATTGAGTTCCAAATTAAAAAAAAAAATGCATGGATGAATTGTTCACTTTAAGATCAATAATACGCATTTACAACAGAGTGAATTTTTATTTCATGCGGACATTAAACAATTAAATCCAAGTAAAAATCAGAGATGTAGGTGATGTTTTTTTTTTTTTCAGTTAAAAAGTTTCAGTTAATATACTTTCTCCTGCCCCAATTTAATAGTTTATGTAATTATTTATCATTTTATGCCATATCAGCATCAAAGGCTATATTCATGGCAAACTCAAGAAAAATAAGATTTAAAATAGTCTTAATACTTCAACGAATTGCATACAATAATTTAACAATATTATTTTTTACAAACAAACAAAATAAAAATAAAAATCTTTCAAATTGATATTTGATTAAAAAAAAAAAAAATCTCAGAAGAAACTTCTTTAAAAATGTCAATTTATGTACTTTCAGAGTAAAAACATTTCCTAGTACCCAATTTAATAGAGCAGTTAATTCATAACAAGTGTAATCTTTTCAGGGTGGGAGTTTGATAAATTGGATATTTTTTGGAGCTGTGATGTGCTGACATTTTCCTTTCAATATATCCTGTATAGATTTTATTTAAAAAAAAAAAATCCAGATATTTCCAGGCTTTCCCTGACTGTGGGAATCTGTTTCCGGAATTTTCTTTGGGTTTTTAGAAAAGCAGTTTTGGATTTAAAAAGAAATACTGTATCTGTGGTGAAAATTACTTGAAGATTTTTTCCATGTTTCGTTCTACAAATTAAAAGACTTACCCTAAATATATAAAAATGTGCATTATTTACAGCTACTTCGGTTATAATTTAACTATCTGACATAAGGATAATTTGTTATGATTTTACGTGATTAGAAAAAAAATATCCTCTCATAAATAAGCAATGTCCTGAAAACTTTTCAGGGGGGAAATATTGCCCCCTCATAAAAAGTAATTTGACACTGTAAAACTAAGCATGACTCACGGCTCCCACTAATGCTTTGCCCGTGGCCATGTCCACAATCTGCAGGGCGATATCTCTCCCACAGCGGGCCTGAGCTTCTTTAGTGCTGGCTCCCAGATGAGGACAGCTGATCACATTGGGATGGTTCACCAGCACCCGGTCTTTTGGAGGCTCCTGAAACCACCGAAAAAGACATTATCAGTATTATTTTAAATATGTTTGCATGCAATGCCATTGACCAGTGGCAAGAAGCTAAAACCATTCTCAGTCGAAGTGATCAACAAGCTCTGACCTCCACAAACACATCCAGCCCCGCTCCTCCACACTGTCCCGACTCCAGAGCCCGGAGGAGGGCGGCTTCATCAATGATGCCGCCGCGAGCACAGTTCACCACCTTCACACCTTTCTTACACTTAGCAAATGAAGCGTCATTAAGGAGACCTGTGTAGCACATCAGCAAAAGTTTGATTTTACAGTGGGGCAATTCAAGCTAAATTAAATTAGAACTGCAATATAGCCTAGTAGTGCAATTATTAAAATGCATGTTATTATTATTATTAAAATATAAATTATTGTAATTATTAAAATAAAAATGATTATTATTATTAAATACATGATTTTAAATTTCATTTTAAGATTACACTAGATTAGATGCATGTACCTCAGGACCAGGGTTATTATAGTTAACTAAAACAACACTGTTAATTAAAACTAAATAAACGTTAACTGAAATCAAATAAAATATAAAAAATATATATATTTTATTTCAGCTAGTTGTCAAGGCAACATTTCTCATTTTCATTTAGTTTAACTTGATTTACTAAAATAACTCAAACTGAAAAAAAAACTATATAGACATGTTTTTTAAAAAGCAAAAACTAATAAAAATATGACAAAACACAAAATTACTAACACTTTTAACTAAAATTAAAATGGAACTTAAAAATATTACAAATAAAAACTTGATTTGATAACTAATTTGAGATATTAATAAAAAAAACTATAATAGTATATCTAGTGATGGGCGCTTTCGAAACACTGCTTTGTGAAGCTTTGAAACCTTTGCGAATCATGTTTCGAACCAGTTTTATACATTTGTAGATATTTTTTAAATGGCACATTTGTATAATAAAAAGAAGAGTTGTAGTTAAAGGGGTCCTATTATGCTTTTTCACTTTTTCAACTTTAGTTAGTCTGTAATGTTGCTGTCTGAGCATAAAAAAGATCAAGTTACAAAGCTCAAAGTCCACTTCAAAAGGAGATATTTTATTTAACAGAAATCACTTTTCAAAAACTACAACGAACGGCTCGTTTGGACTACAACGCATATCTTCCGGGATTTGTGACGTCACAAATATCGACGAATGGGACGAGACCTGGTTGAGCTGCACTAGAGAAGGCAACGAGTGTTATCACTGTGTCGGAGACACGCTAGCTTTCCCAAGGCAGATGAACTTAGAGCGGTTACAATCATCTGGGTTTAAATCGCGCTCAAATTGATTTGATTTTGACGCAATATTTACACTGAAGCTTGCAGCAGGCGGCTATGGTAAGGGGCATGACATTTCCCGACCAGACGCCGAGTGGTGCCAATCACAGCACACACTGGCCCAGCTAACCAATCACAGCACATTTCGATACAGGAACTATTCGAGCCGTTCATGCCAGACTGGGGAGAGGTGTTGTAATAATGTAAAATATGTGAAAAATAATGTGTTTTTCGAACAACCTAGTATGAGAGCCTGTTCTAGTACACCCCCAAAACAAAATCAAGACTTTGTAAAAGAGCATAATAGGACCCCTTTAATAATCTCTTATTGGCCTGATTAACCAAGCTTTCCATAAAACAAATAAAACCAGCCCTACAATTTTATTAAAATAACACATATTTAAACAGACACTTTATATTTAATGGCATTGGATGTTTTTTCGGATGTTAATTGCATTTAATAGATTACACTTTCAGCAATTGGTTTGTAAAAGGTGTTTTCATGCATGTTTGGCCAGCAGCAGGCATCTCCAGCGTGTGGCATTTCGAGCCCTGGAAACAGTGAAACATTTTGCAAAGCAATTGGTTCAACTGATTCAAAGTTTGGAAAAGCTTTGTTTCTTCCATCACAAAGTATATCAATGATACTAAAATATCACTGCTCAGGATTTGAAACTTTAGTCTTGCCAATTTAAGCAGCAATATGAGATGTATCACAATATTTGTCAAAATAAAAATAAAAAATGTTTAACTGAATTGTACAGAAAGCTAGCAAAATGTTTTGTTTGTGTGTACCTGTGGTGGAGGGCATGAGTGGAGTATGGACTGTGATATAATCACACTGTGGCCACAGCTCCTCTAGAGACATCTGCTCCACACCCCAGCTCGCAGAAACCTCCGGAGGGGTGATGGGGTCGTAACCAATGGTCTATCAGGAATGCAATAAAAAAAAAAGTTTTAATTGCATTTGCATTTCAAGTTAGGACAGTTTTTAGGACACAATGATCTTACCTTCATACCGAAGGACTGCATTCTCGTTGCCACCTCTTTGCCAATTCTTCCAAGCCCTGCAATACCAAGAACTTTTCCATAGAGCTCTGCGCCCATGAACTGCAAAATCATTAGCAAAGCACTCAGCCATCTAACACAAAAATGTGGAGCAACACATTCCGTGATCACGATCGATTAGTGACAACTGACTTAACAGATGGGAAAGTATGGCTATGGAAATCACAACTCTGACTGTTTTTTTTTTTAACTATGCATACTGTGCACAAACTTTCAGTATATTGCCAAAATGTGCAATATACAACAGGATGGTGCATGCAATACTCCATCCCATAATGCAATGCCCTTTAAATACTGCCAACAGCCACACTGAGGACAAAAAGTGCACATACCTTTTTACGATCCCATTTTCCATCCTTCATTGACATGACAGCTTGTGGAATATGTCTAAGAAATATAGAAAAAAATAATAATAAAAAAAAATATATATA